AACGCCAGGTTATCGGCGAGTAATAAAATAATAATAGAAGGGAGCATACCAAATTGGGGTGAAGTTTTCCTGTATCTTTAGGATATTTTTTTTAAAAAAATCAGCAATATGGCTTTTGGGGGGGGGGGGATTAGCCTTGGCGGGGGCCACTGGTTACCCTGGGTTGGGACCGGAAGCCAAAGCGCTCCTGAGGACTAGAATCTTTGGGATCCATTTTAACTTTGCTTATTCCATTTCGCTGCGGGGAGTGAGCCGATATGTAAATTTAATAAATCCGTATTCTTCTTCATCAAAAGTTACTTTCCGTCAGGAAAGAGTTAAAAAAAAGAGTTGATATGTCAGCCGTTTTATAATACCCATTAAAATGAAAAAGGGATCGATTTCGGTCACATTGGCATATTAATTTTAATTATTTCCATTTTATTCCTACCCTGCCTGCATTACTTTTACATATCGCTCAAAACCTCCCAGCTATTATTTATATAGCTAGTCCTTGACTTAATGACTGTTCTTTTGAGTGACTGTTTGAAGTTACAACGGTACTGGGGGGGGGGGAAGTGACCCTGTCCCACACTTACGACCGTTGCAACATCCCCGTGGTTACGTGATCAAAATTCAGACGGTTGGCATGGACTCAACGACGGTGGTGGGTCACGTGATCCCCTTTTGCAAAGGCCAGGGGGAAGCCAGCTTCACTTAATGACCATGTGGCTAACTTAACAATGGTAGTGACTCACTTAACAACTTTTGTGGTCTGCCAGCAGTTGCAGAGATGGCAGCAGAGTGGGACAGGGAGGAGGTTGGGGAGGGACATGGGCCAGTCCTAGAGTCCGGGGAAGGCTCGGACGAGGGCTCTGCGTCGGAAGCAGAGAGGGGGCCAGGGCCATCTGGGAGTTATGTGCTACCTCCGGACAGCAGCGAGGCAGAGGAACAAGGGGAGCCTGTTCCCAGCGCGCGCATGTGCAGAGCTCCCAGAAGGCAAGAACCGTTAAGACAAAAGGGGGGACTTGGGAGTAAGGCTTGGGGGTGATTGGCCCCTCCCATAAGACATAAAGGAGGAGCAAAGGGAAGCAACTTTGTTCGTCCTGATCGGTTTAAATTCTGACGCTCTGTTTTGACTCTGTGTTCCGTGTGTCCTTGCCAAGCTAATTGCCAATTAGGTCTTTTGGCAGCGTTTCAAGGGAGGTAAAGGTGGGCGCTTATCAGCCTTATCCCGAAAGACTTTGGCAGACTTCGGTCGGACTCTTTACAAACTATTTGTGACTCATTACGGGCTGTGAATGAACATAATTCCCGGCCGTTGAAATAAATAAGAGGGTTTGGGGGGGACTAAGCGTGTACTTTGTACTATCTCGGGAAGCCTGGGTCAGAACGACGACCACGGTAAGGTCGTAAAACGAGGCAAAACCCGCTGAACAAGTGTCTCACTTAGCAACGTAAATTTTGGGCTCAGTTGCGGTCGCAGGTCGAGGATTATCGGGCATTTTCCGTTACTGCATTATTCATTTCTGGCATTAAAAAACCCGCGGTTGCCTTTGTACAACGCAATTAAGGTACAAAATTATGAAGTTAATTCTCAATTTAACCTGTTTCCTGGGTTAGCTTGGTGCCTGAAATCATAACCAGCCTAACAGGATGACGGAAACCACGATAAAGAAAGAATTCAAAGATTATTTACTGGCGTGCCTCCTACACAAGCTGTATTTCTTTTTTTCTCTTTGCCATTTCTCTAAGCTTGAATTCGAATCCGGCTCCTACAAAATCCCAGCTGTAAAGTTAAGAAGCACATCTGAGGAGAGGAGGAAACAAGCCACGTTGTGACAATCACCAAATACACAACCCACGAGGTTTGTGGGATGGGAAAATGGCCGGCTGGGGTGAAAAAATGAAGCTCCTCCATGAGGACTGTAAACTTGCCAAGGGAGCACAACCAAGCGATTGAAGAATAAAACAGGTCAACAAAATAAAACAGGCATATTTAACAAAAGAGGGTTTAGTGCAAATATATGCACACTGGGGCAGAATCCGTTCATACACACATTGATGGCATTGTCGGTAATTGCAGGTGTGATCTTGAGATTTGGAACGGTGCGGTGGCCTAGAGGTGGGAGCTCTCGCCTCGCAATCAGAAGGCTGTGAGCTCAATCCTAGGTAGAGGCAGATTTTTCTCTCTCAGAGAAAAATTTTCTCACAATGAGAATATATCTCCCGAACACAACTCCGCATTGGCAACAGGGACAGGCGTCCGGCCACTAAATACTGCTATAGCTCCATTCAGTTGCCCAGACTCCACCCCCACAAGGGATTATGGGGCCGTTAAGAGAAGATGATGAACTTGAGACGTTTTTGCTAAGTGACGCATTTATTGGAAAAGGGCAAATTGTGTCGTTAAGGATGGAAACATGAGAAGGCCAATGTTGTGATGTCATCAGATCTTTGCCATCCGGGGAATTCTGGGAGTTGAAGTCCACCGCTTAAAAGACTGAAATACACCAATTTAAGCTAGTTTTCAACCGAAAACCAC